AAATTAGGGACGGCTAGCGCAGATAGCCCTCGTGTAGCTTTGCGCGAAATTCCAAAAACAAAACAAACAGAAAAATGCCACTGCTTTGGTTAAAATAGTAAACAAACTAAAAAAAAACAACACTGAAAATGAAACTCGTTTAGCTTACATTTTTACACTTTGTTCATCTACATATCTTAAACAGTGTAGAAAATTAAGTTATAGCTGCATTAGCTTCTTTATTAGGTATAAACCTAAACATACCTTGAGTGTATGTAAGCGATGACGTACTATCAAGTTAATGTTATAAATAATTTTCTAGCATGTTTGTTTCTTCAGTTTTTAATGCTTTTCTATAATAAAACAAATTACACAGTGAATAAAATCTACATTCATTTCGAATCTAAGAACATCTGTACAAGGAGAAGGTTGATCAAATTATGAATGGTTCAAGCGAGAAATATAACATTCAAACAATCAAAGTCGTATCTTTTGTTTAGAATCTGGATATAAATAAACAATGTTTTTCTGTTTTTTTTTTGTTGTTCTTTAATTTTCAGTTAACGTTAAGAAAAACAAATACTTACAACATACTTAGCTTGATTCATACAATAAATAAAAATCCACCTAATAGTCTAAACTAAAAATAAAATGAAGCAAAGACAAGTTTGTCAGCACTCATAATGCAGACAGAGATAATGGAATAAAAAAATAAAAACTCTAGTTGAGAACTTTGCAGAAAATTTAAACTCATTTTAAACTAGTATTCCTACTTTTTTGAACTCCACTAAGGTAATCAATTATTTTGAAAAAAATAAATCAGTTGTCGACAAGCTTTTCTGTGTTGGCAAATTATTGGAAGTTTGCCTAAAACCAGTTACGGCGATTTTTTTAAATTCTTTTATTAACAGATGGTGAAGAGATGAATTTTCCCATTTCACCAGTAATAGCGCACATTTACATGTAAAGGCGAGGCAGTATTTCCAGTACATTCACTATTTAACCACAGCTTTCAGTGTGATATGAAGGTGACACCATTTTCATGGCGTTAAAGTCAAAGCAGAATGCGATAACTTATCAGAGTGGTTTTGAAAATTGTTTTTGTAATGGAAAACAAAATGGTGTTTGTCCCTGGACCCAGTACTTAGCAGGATGTAAACATCGATATATCCAATGACACTCTTACTTACAGAAGAATCCTCAACTTTCTATCACCTTCTGCTCATTGTAGAAACAGAGATAATCAAATCTTAAAATCTAAAGCTGAGAAAATAGTTAGTGTCATTAGTTTTCATATGAAAACAGTTTTTTCAGAAAATTTACGAACGGGAAACCATGTGTAGTCAGCAAACAGTGGCATGTTGTCATATCTCATTCCAGATAATGCATATGTTTAACATCTAAGTGATATTCAAAAATAAACACTTTTATATAAAACTTTTAACAGAAGTTAAGACTAACAAACTCAGTATAAAAAAAACATCTTATCTTCATCGTGTCCTGTATCTGTTTGTAACTGAATTTCACGCAAAGCTACTCGGAGGCCATCTGTGCTGGCCGTTCCCAATAATAATAATGTGATAGATAAGAGGGACGACAGCTATTCAACACCACCCATTAACACCTCTTGTGCTATTCTTTACCATGGAATAGTTGGATTGACAGTCAAATTATAGATTTCGATTCGAGTGCTTTAACAATGTGTGTCCTGTGAATTTGTCAAAACGACGGTGCAACCAGTGAAAAGCTGTGAGTGGTGTAGGTTTTAGGTTTTTAGAATTTCACGCAAAGCTACACGAGGGCTACCTACGTTAGCCGTCCCTAATTTAGCAGTGTAAGACTAGTTTCAATAGATAATAAATGTTATTTTTCTTATAATAATGTAACAAGATATACGTTAAAAAGTCACGAAACCAATACAACAAAAATAAAAGTTAAGAAAGACTATGAAATGTTGTGTTTCATTACTTAGATATACATACATATCAATCATAATTGTGGTAAAAGACATTTTCACCCTCTTTACAGATGTTTTTATTCTATTTTGGGTCTCTCATAGAGGCGGTTTATTGACAGAGAATACAGTTTTTCTCTCAGTGATTTCACCAATTCGTTAAACGTTATCACATAAAGATGTCAACATGTCAGTGATATATCAAACATGTTAACATGCCAGTAGTTTATTAAATATGTCAACATGCCAGTGGCTCACTAAACATGTCAGTTGTTCATTAAACGTGTCAACACGTCAGTGGGTCATTAAATGTGTCAACACGTCAGAGGCTCATTAAACGTGTCAACATACCAGTGGTTCACTAAACATGTCAAAATGTCAGTGGTTACAAATCATGTTAACATGCCAGTGATTAAGAAATATGTCAACACATCAGTGGTTCATTATTAAAATGTGTCAACATGTCAGTGATGCGTTAAACATGTTAGTGATCACTAAACAGGTGAACATAAAAGTGATTACTAAACACGTCAACATGTCAATGGTTCATTAAACATGTCAACTTGCCACTGATTACTAAGCATGTCAACATGCCAGTGATTCATTAAACACGTCAAGTACCTAAAAGAATGACCACACAGCATTCACACTCCTGTAATACACCCACAACGTATATGTATGTAAAAAGGACTTGTTTATTATTGTTATAACCATTTATAGTTACATAATGAGTTGAAATTGGCATGACGTCATACGTGGTGTGGTAGTTGATAACTATCCGATCCCAGAAGTATTTCATGGAGTTAACCTACCTCCTCTCCCAACTTTTTATTTATATATATGGTGTTGTTATATTTCAAACTAACGAACATCCTTTCTGCACTTAGGTGGCTGATGGAAAGACCTGTCGAGAGATTGTGGTGACCAACACGTTTTATTGTCTCTTACATTAACGACGCGTCCATCAACAACTTGACAGCCATTTCCCCGGCTTCCTACCCGGAATTGTTACATCGAACCCTAAAAGAACATCGTTTGATTAATAGTGGAAGTACTACTTCTTCCAACAAGACAGTAGAGAGGCTGAAAACGAATGGACTGACACTTAAAGAAGAAGAAAGAATCAGTAGTAGTAGAAAAACAAAACTCCTTTCCGAAGTCATGTCGAAGGTTTTACTACATAAGGCAACTGCACAGGAAGCAATATATACAATCCGTTATTTCCATTTTTCTGCTAACGTTGTATTGGGATTTCTAATAATTTCTTACATTCACGTATAGACTTAGATTAGATTTGTGCTGGACATAGCCTAACGGTTAGTGTGTCCGAGGGTTTGTGGTTCGCGACCAGTTGCTTCGAAAACGCGCTCTGCGCTTTCGGTCCGCGGGTACTCTATAACAACGACGAGTAAATCCCACCATTCGGACAAACAACAGTAGCCCAAGAGCTGGCGATGGGTGCTGTTGACTAGCTGCCTTCACTTAGTCTTATTATTTCAAAATTAGAGACATCCGTGTGCGGATAGCGCTTTGTGTGGCTTTGGAACTGAAACTAACAAAGAACAGATTACAATTAGTTATATGTTTTGTGGAATGAATCGGAAGACTGAAGATAATTTAATAAAATTAAAACTTATCCTAGTATTTCAATTAATTAAAAAATACAAACATTTTGAAACATTTCTATCAATTTACAGCCCCTATCAATAGAGAAAAACATTTAGCCTAAAATATCCTTCGATTTGCCAAGTGAATTATGAATATATATATATATATATATTTATAGAAATTCGAGCAAAGCTACTCAAGGACTATCTGCGCTAGTCGCCCATGATTTAGAAGTGATAGACTAGAGGGAAGGCAGCTCTTGGGCTACTCTTTACCAACGAAAAGTCAGATTGACTGTCACGTTATAACGCTCCACGATTAAAAAAACGAGGATTTGTGGAGACAAGATTCGAACCCGCGGCCCGCAAATTGCGAGTCGAACGCCTTAACCACCAGGCCATGCCAGGTCCTTATAAGACAATATATTTAGGCTAGGGACACTGAATACTTTTATACGTATTTTCATTTTTTGGGTGTATAATATAGAGCATAGATTGTTTAAACAGAGAATCATGAGATCATGGAATACAGTATTTCTCCCCAGACAGTATAGGATATAATATTAATTGCCAGACAATGTAGAGTACAGTATCACTTCCCAAACATATAGGGTCATTATTACCCTTTAGATACAATGTGGAGTACAGTATCATTCAGGGTGTTTTTTTTTTTCTAATAGCAGACAAACTTCTAAAGACGCATAGTAGATATAACCACAGAGATGGAAATAAGAGATCCTTCGTGCTTCTGCTGACCTGAATTACCAGCAGATTTTTGCCTTATAATTGGGCCAAACTGTAAACTAATATTAGAGTTACAAGGACGCCAGTAGTCAGATATATAGGATAAGATTGTAACTCCGTGTTCGTTTGTACAATTTTCAGTAATTTAAAATCAATCGTTCCTAATTTGGTTTCGTAATGGTACCTTAATAAAAGTTCTAATTAAATTGATATTTGAGGTGGAGGATCGAAGATAACTGAAAAAAAGTCGGTGCCGATTAAAATCTTCCACAATTATGTTTTATTTTATTATCGTTTTAATGTAATCGACACACAACTTCAAACGTTTTCTTAGTTGCTCATTTGCTCCACTGTCGTTGGCATGACAACAGATCCGGGTATTTTCCGGCAAGCCCGATGCTTGCAGGCAACGTTAAAGTGATTCCAGTTTTCGTTAATGCAGGACGTGAGTTAATGAATGGGGTAAAAAATATTAGCGCTAAGAGAAATCTTGATTTTATATCAGCAAATAGGTTCTGTCTAAAAATGCTGATGGTATAATCACCGGTTGTTAGAAACCATAAGTGTAATATTTCACCAATCTACTTGCATTTGTTATTTTCACTACTCGTTGGAGAAAAACACAAGGTAATTGTTTCTTGGCTTGTATATTGTTTTAAAAGCATAGTTCTTTAATAAAGCTAATTCGTAACTAAATTAGCATAGTAATAGTGCAGCGTTTATAGTAATTAAGGTCTTACATATGATCTAATTATTTGTGTGTGTTTTCGTACTTATTTATTAGTTATTCAGATTATTTGTTCTTTAAACATGTATTCGCCTCGTACTGTTTGCGTATTAATAGGATATGTCAGAGCTCAAATTTTACGGAAAACGTGTTGATATTTTATTCTAGTCAAGAAAGATATTATTTAATTTTGAAATTTATAGTTAACATTCAACGTTGAAGTTAACGTATCCTTTGGAAAGTTGGCATATAGAGAGTATTTGGATATACGATAAAGCTAAGATGTCAAGATACAAGCAAACACCATATTTTAAATACGTTTCAATGGTGATGTGAACATACAGTCACTAACTTCTCTTAGTGTAATATATACATATATATAATAAAATATATATGCGTCAGAGGAGAAGAGATAGTGAAGAGAAGAAACAGACATTTTTAACACTTACACTAATGCTTGTTTTCTATTCTCCTCAGGTGGGACAGCGGTAAGTCTGCAAAATTACAACGCTGAAATCAGTGGTTCAAGCCTCTCGGTGGACACAGCAGAGAGCCCGAAGTGGTTTTGCTATAAAAAAACAAAAAAAACAAACTCACACTATTTCCAATAACGAATGGATCATGTATTTAATTAGAATCGTTTTGTTAATACTTTGATTTTTTTTCCCCATGAATTCTCGCTTTTTATCCATCTAAATCAACCCATCGAAAAATATGTTAATAACAAGAAGAAAACAAATTAAAAACACTTGATACGATCTTGGGTAAAGTTAAACGAACAATAAATGAGAATAACGATCTTGTGTATTTGGTTTAAGTTGGATAGATTTCTATGAGTGAGTGTTGGATTTCTAATTATCTTTCTTCTAGTAACAAAATGCAAAAAAAGATGATGAGTTACCGGCATTGATTCGAACGTCAGTTGGCTGTTTTTGGACTGAAAGAAATCAACTGAAGATCTCGACGTGAAATCCACTAAGTGGTTTGAAAAGTATCAAACTAGGAGCCAGTATTGAGATTGTGAGTCTTAAACTAAGAGTTTTGTTAGTTATTTTATTTTTGATAGAATAAAGTATGTAAGAATTGAATAAAAACAAACATACATACAAGAACGGTAACTTACCGTGTAGCTGGGGGGTTCCAGTAAATATCCGTTAAATCAATATTAGTTGTGTTACCACTTTTCATGTCAAACTATCGTTAATTCACAATTAAAACTACGATATGGCTTAACACTTTTACTGACAAATTAATCGTAATTCACTCTTAAAACTATGTTATGAATTAACACTTTTACTGTATAGATAAATATAATTTACTTGTAACTTTTGTCCGCATGTTAAAGTTTTTGTTATATACATCCATAAGTACAATCATTACCACCATTACACATTAAAGTCAAATGAATATTATAATTTACCTCGAGGAATATATTATTCACTCATAGTATTCACAGCTGTATGTCTGCGGATTAATACCGCTAGAAACCGGCTTTCGATACCCGTGGTGAGCAGAGCATTGATAGCCCTTTGTGCTGAATGACAAACAAACAAAAACAACAAAATGTGTTAGAAAGACCTTATGATGATGTTATTTATGATTATATTTCTTGTAGAAAGTAATGTTCTTAAGTAATAATTGTAAGAAAAAAAGAAATGTGTGATAGTTTTATTTTTTCTTTAGTGAATACAGAAAAGCTTCTTGGACAATTTATTAATGAGTTAAAGTTTAAAATAAAGAGATGTTTAAAAACTTTACTTTATATAGAAGTACAAAATGCTAATGCGTTTTTAACATACTTATATCTAATCAAAAACACTATAGGTGTGAAAAGAAGGTGCGGCCAAAAAAGGATTGAGTGCGTGACTTAAAGGAATGAAATCAAAATTGGCGGCCAAATTGGTAACTAAACTTATAGCATTGATAAGAATTTTACAGCAAATATTCATTCATTAGCTAGCCAGGCCGCGTTTTTTGATCAGCTTGGAGTATGATAGTGGATAAAATAAAATACATAACAAAATCAATTTTCAATTTGAAATTTATACAAGAATATAACAAGTGATTGTATTGATACTTTTGAAATCATATTCCAGGAGTAAAAAACAGCCATTAACATGAAAAACTCAAACATAAGAGACACTTAAAAAAGAGAGAGAAAATTTAACGTGTTTTTCCTCTAGAGATGGTAACAGCTTTTATCTCACGATAGTTTCCAAACTATCATTGTATTGTATCTCCCATAGCGTTAGATACACTCTAGAAGGTGATTTTAACAGCCTGGTCCATTAAAAAGCAGCATTAGATACACACTAGAAGGTGATTTTAACAGCCTGGTCCATTAAAAAGCAGCATTAGATACACACTAGAAGGTGATTTTAACAGCCTGGTCCATTAAAAAGCAGCGTTAGATACTCACTAGAAGTGATTTTAACAGCCTGGTCCATTAAAAAGCAGCATTAGATACACACTAGAAGGTGATTTTAACAGCCTGGTCCATTAAAACGCAGCGTTAGATACACACTAGATGGTGATTTTAACAGCCTGGTCCATTAAAACGCAGCGTTAGATACACACTAGATGGTGATTTTAACAGCCTGGTCCATTAAAA